GTTTTGAAATCTGGGATAACACATATGTGATATATTTCTGGTATTTGCTTAAGAGACAAAGTTTAATACAAAGCACACTATTGTCTTGTGAATACTTTGAAGTATAGTCACTAAGTAAAGGTTAAAATCGAAAGATACCTTCATGTATGTATGTGTTTATCGTTGTTTAATTCTGAAGAAATATTACAATCTAGTGGGGTATTGTTAGAGAGATTGTAATATATCTCTCAATTTTAATATCACAAAATTGGATTAAAACACATTCGGGAAGAGTGGGCTGACGCAAGCACGCGTTGCAGCGCGTAGGAGTGCGCGCTGCAGCGCGCTTAGGCACTGCAGCCTGCGCAAAATAGACCTCTCAGGTCTGTTTTGCTAGGCGCGCGCGCTGCAGCGCACAGAAGCATGCGCTGCAGCGCACCCTGGGCGTTGCAGCCTATGTAAAACAGACCTCTCGGGTCTGTTTTGCTAAGCCCGCGCACTGCAGCGCGCCTCATGGGCGCTGCAGCGCAAATCATCGACGGAAAATGTGTTCGTGTGTTTTAGTGATCTGAAAATGTCTCGAACCATTGCATCTATTTGTAATATGTTTTCTCACATATCTGAGCACTTATTAACAATATAAATAACTATTGATGTAAGTGCATCAGCATATAAAAGATAACCATCAAATTGAAAAGGTATCTTTATGTGAAAGGTTGTAACACTTAAAGAGGATGGATGCATCCCTGTCTTTATATGATGGACTTCAGAAAATACAGATTACTATTGTTCTGGAACTCAATATTTTTGCTGGATATTGTGTTCAAGGGTTTGTTGTATCTTGGGGGTAATTTGCCATTTTAGAACTCGTTAGCAAACTTTGAGAAGTGAGGGCAAATAAAACCTTAAAGGAAAGTATTCCTATACGCCTCAAACCCTTCTTTCTGCATTCTCTATTTCTTTTCATCCTCTCAATTCTGAATTTATCTCACACAAAATGGGGGGAAAAAAGTCAGCGTCCTTAATCACTAGACTAGCTATCTATAAATAGGTTGTATTTGTCATCACTAGTGTCTGCTGTATCTTAACTATATTATTCACGAGTCAATGAAGGAGTGAGTTGAAAAATTAATTTACACACTTTCGGTAATCTTTTTGAATCCTTGCATTAAATCTACGATCTTTCCATGGAGTTTTATTTTTTATTTTTTTTTTATTTTTTTTAACTTTCCAAGAAGTTGGGGTAAGAATATTGGAGAATATTCAGTCATACTTTGTATCTCTTTGTATTAAAAAATCATGGGCTATGATAATAATAATTATCCAGTATTATTTCTTGCCATCTCCTAAGGCGTAGGTACTCTATAGTTCAGTTCGTGCATTGCAGAATTTCATTGTACATTTCGTGTTTATCATGAGTTACAGCCAAATAAATTAAGTGGTCTTCAAGCTAGCTATAGTATGTTATTAATTGTTTCCTCTTGGTTTTTTTTTAATCATTTTTACACATGTAGAAAAGTATTTCCCTTTTGTTTCCCTAAAAAAAAAAAAAAGTATTCCCCTTTTGTTTTCAATTCCCATGATTTATTGCATGCATTGTTTTCTCATGACATGATATACCACATTTCTTGAGTACCTACA